CTTACTAGATTATTAAGTCCATCCTCTTGTAAAGGCAGGATATAATCCCCTTACAGAGGAGGTACTGGATATTAAACTTATATACTACTAAGCAGTAGTCAATAATGTATTTAATTGAATACAAGGAAATGTCCAAGAAAAACAGATTGGACAGGATTTTGTGACATCCAGATTTCCCATTTAGAACAAAATTTGCTTTATCTTGTGATTTTTACAGTGTTATTTTAAGGAATATTATCTTACAATTTCTAGGCTTTGAAACATTTCTCCTTTCTTTTACATTAAAAAGTAGGCACTACTTTTTCACACATTTTCAAATGTAAGGCAACTTATGTGATGAAGAATCCAAGCCATACTGAAAATGTGTGAAAAAGTAGTGCCTACTTTCTAATGTAAAAGAAAGGTGTTTAACAAATCTCACCAATACTATCCATAAATATTGATTCATGTGTTTAAAAATCTTCTTGAACTTACAGCTGAGGGCATAAGATATTTCATGGCTAACGACACAACTGGGATGCTTTTCTGTGTTATGCAGAAAATCTTTTCCTTCTAGCTGTAATATATTCCCTAATCAAAAGTTTGGCATCTCATAATCATCCCTCTCATGTGAGCAGCTTGCCATTAGGTGATGATGATATAATTCATAAAACTAACATCTGGGAATTATATTTGATGCTGCTATTGACAGAGCATTTAGAGGAGACTGCTTTGTCATTAGGATTAGTGACTCTCTGACATACAATTTGGAACAGTTTCAGGCTACTAGCAGAATATGGGCTTTTTCCCGCTTGATTTTTTCATCATACTGTGGACACACAAAATGTATTTATCCCTCTTATACAAGATGGCACCAGTCAGACAGCCAGAGCCTGAATGCGCTTATTCTATCATGGAGCAAAGAGGACTAAACGCGGCACTATCTGCCTCTGAAGTAGTGACTCAGCTTGCAAGGCTTGAACATTCAGTCCATTGACTTTTTTTCCTGCCTAGCTTGTCTGCAAGTATATGTTCTCCTCCACAGAATGCTGACTGTCACAGGTGCCTGGCAAATGCCCCACTTTCAAAAGACTGCCCCGTGGCACAAAAAGCTGGAGCAAGCACTTCTACGGAGACGTAGAGGGTCCATAGCTGTCCATCAGCACTTATGGTAACTTATCTTGAATGTACGTTAGCAAAGTCTGCAAGCCGGATTCTTGGCTCACAGCACATAAATACATTTATATGCAATCTCATCTATGCCAAAAACCCACAAATTGCAGGTTATAAACTAGTTCAGACAAGTTGCCAGCTCTGTCTTGGAGTTTTGCTAGACTAAGACTACAGATAATCAACCAGAATTTGCCAACAAATGCAGAAGCATTGTTTCACACATTTTGTGGAACCCTGACAACTTTGTGAACTGCTGAGTATGTGGGATTTGAGACAGAGTTAATTATATTCATGGCATCACAAATCTTACTAGTAAAAGTGTCTTCACCTAATGTAATTAATTAGCAGTGCCTTTGTGCAGCACCTTTTGCTCTGCACGTATTTAACATACGATGAGCGTCATCTCTGTAATGATAATCTGCTTGCGGTACAGTTTACGTGATGCTGTGATGAGTCCAAGTACTTGCTCAAATATATACATTGTGTAAATTAACACATGCAGTAAAGGGTATAGAACTACATAAAATACTCTGAAAGGGTGGTCTTAAGGGAAACCTAAACCCCAACCAGGTTAATAAACATATTCTCAAATACAAATGTCTGCCAGAAACATTTGACAGGTTCTGCATACACTCTTATGCCATATAATTTTAGCAACGGAGAACCTCTGTTTCAGTGCCCGTTCTTGTTTGCTACTCCCTTGAGGAAACTGCATTACTTAAAGAAACAAACCCTCCTTCACAACAAGAAATGCAAGTCTGGCTTCCCACAATTACAATGAATTAGTCTGTCAAGGCATTTCTAAACAATAGCCTACAGGTGAGGTGGCTAGAAAAAGGAAGCATTTTCAATTAAACTTTTAAGAAACACAAGATTTTATATCAAAACCTTTAATGCACTTTTCCCAACTTTTTTAAAAAACAAAAATTGCAGGCTCATTTTTTTAGGTTCTCACTTTTACATTTCATTTCATGAAAAAAATCAAAACATCTTGTGGAAAGATTTTTCATTTTTAAAAGTGTGTTTTCATATAAAGAAAGTGCCATCTGATCCCCTTTCAGGGAGAACTGACACAAATAAATTTGCAGGTAGGGACAACTGCACTTACAAAAAAAAAAAAAAGTATAGCTCCAGTCAGAGTTACAATAAGCTTTCCTTTCAAAAATTACAGTGAACAAATGAATGCATATAATAGGGACAGATCAATTTATGGTTAGTAGTTCTTCTTCTAGTGCAAACTCAAAATAGTTATTCTTTATTGCTCTTCTAACATAGCTTTCTGAGAATGCTTCTATTTTGGACATTTGAACAGGTGCAAGGAAGACACAACCCTACTATGAAAGCCTGACAAAGATCTAAACTCTTCCCTGGCAAAGACACGTGCCAAGGGCAGCATCACTGTTTCACTCCAGGTTCCTGGACTTGAGGCTGGGGAGAGGAAACAGTACAAGGAGAGCATTAATAGCAGTGAAAAAGGCTACCCACTAAGCAGTGCTTTGTTTGTACTCCAAAACATTTGGTGGATAATCTCTCTCTACGCAAAAGGGTAAATAAGGACTCTGTAGACTCCTCCTTTTTAATGGGGGGAAGCTCCTGCCTTGAGCAACAATATCATTGTGCATCACTCACTGCAGGGAAAACAAGGTGGCCCCTGGAAGGGGAAGGAGCAAAGAAAATTTGCACTGGCCAGCCTAAGGACAGACACTCTATCGGCTATATCGCACAGACCCTCTCCTGCTCACAGACGCTATACAGATTCAATTACGCTGAAGAGCGCTTCAGTCAAACTCCTCAGTGCCTGTCTCATATGAGTAATTACTTCCATATTCTATTATAAAAACAGCCATATTTGAATGGGCTTGAAGCTAGCATGGATTCAGGGCTTCATTATATCTACTGTCTCTAAATGTTTCTCTTAATTATTTTTGGTCCCTAAGAGAGACTTGAGGCCTCCCTTATTTGCTCTCTCTTCTAATATGGTTGGCCTAATTTCCAAAGTAAAAGATTGAAAAGGGGTGGGAAGTCACATGTAAACAAGCCTTCTTCCAAATGCACAGACGTTTCCTTCTGTATTATTTTAGTGTTGCTAAAGATGCCATATTGACAGCTGTGGAAAGAAAAGCCTGCTATTCACACAAGCACAAGAAAAGCAGGACTGCAGATACCCTCTACCTTCCAACAGTTCTAGTATGCCTAAGTGTTAGCATTGGACAGAGGAAAGAGTAGGAGGCTGCCCCTATCCTCCAGCCACAGCCTATGCCTCTGGCACACCACTGTAGGTATACCTAACTACCAGAAGCTGGTAATTCCGGTATGCAGAGGTAGATCTTTTAGATATACAACATTATGCATCAACTCACTCACTTCATATATGCCCCCCCCCAAAAAAAAAAAAAGGGCTCAACAACTGGATACAAATTTCTTCCACAACTTACAGAATTGGTGGTACTCCCTCAAAAGGTTGTTACAAAAAGATAAATCTCAGACTTCATGAACACTGAAATATAAGGGCACAAAAGAAAGGGCATTAGCCCCCTGTTTTCATGCTTCAGTGTGAGTAACTAATTATATTGTTTATCCAGGTTGCAGCAACTGCCGTGCTGAGATCCTGAATGCTCATACAATGGCAGACCCCCGTCATAGTCTGTCTCTCTACGTGCATGACCCAGAATTGAATGAAAAAAGTTTCAGTAGGCTTGACACGTGTTTCTTTATAATACCAAAACCACTAGTACCTGAGAGTTAATACTGCCAGCACTCTGCACCCGTAACAGGAAAATGACGTAATATGTGGCTAATGCAATTCAGGGAACATGAGTTTAATATTAATTTTGCACGTTGTCTCGGATTCCCAAATCTCCAAATAAATTTTATACAAGCAGTTATTCAAATTCTCCTAGGCCTTGCACTAGTCTAATTTATGCCGGCAGTACTGCAATGGACGGTGTTGAATAGGTAAGGTCTCAGGTCTAACCGTTGGTACATCCAACTCCATTAACATGAACTACAAGTAGACTTCTGCGAGACGTGAGCAAATTACCTTTGGCTATGGCTGTATTTCACCATACATTCCAGTTCCTAGAAATTATATATACCCTACAAGGACATTTTGGTTTTTCCAAACACGCTTTGTCTCTGGGAGAGACATTTATATCCACAGGGCTCCGTCCAGCAAGCGCCGCCGCAGCAGGTGAAGGCCTCGGCCCTGCAGTAAGCCGCCGCGGGCGAGATGGGCCTCGCTCCCTCGTCCCCGAGACAACCCCGGGGCTCCTTCCCTGACAGAAAGTTACTGGGAAAGGCCGAAACCCTCCCACCCCCCACGGCCAGGGAGAAGCGGCGACGCGCAGCGCCCCTCAGCGCCTGACCGAGAACCGGTCGGGACCGGTTCGGACCGAGCGAGGCGCCACCGCCGCCCTCTCGCGAGAGGCGACCCCGGAGGGAAGGAAGATGGTGGCATCTCG